CACTGTGAGAATAAATCCAAAGATTTGGCGGCGAATAACGCAGGAGGACAGCTTTTTTGCGACCGCAAAGGTAGAATACCACAAGCCTGGGGCTGATCACAAGCTGGTGCGCACAAAATTCTACATAAATGTCTACAAATCGTCGTACTTTCCAGCGAATAGCAATCGGAGGAAATATAGCGTACGCGCCCTTATGAGTGTAGAAAAGAGACAAGCACTGGAGGATGCCATAAGAACCCGCCTAGGCGAAGACGACTCCTCGGCTTCTGTCAGTGTCTTATGGGACCATGTAAAGAAACAGGTGACCATTGCTACGGAGGAGACGATTGGGTGTACAAACTGTAAGCAGCCCGACTGGTTTGACGAAAACAGTTTGATGATTGGGTCATTAGTACGAGCGAAAAACGCAGCGCTCATCGCATCCGAGGTTGACCCTAACAACACCATGAAGTGTAATGCTTTTCGCCACATTCGAAGACAGCTAGTTGGAGAGCTGCGTCAGGTGCAAAATGCGTGGTGGACAATGCAAGCTGCGCAGATAAAGTCCTACGCTGAACACCGCCAACAAAAAGAGTTCTACGACTCCTTGAAGGCAGTGTACGGGCCCACTGTGCAGCAAATGAAGACCCTGAAAGACTCTGAGACTGGCGCAGTATACACACCATTTGATGACATCCTGCAGATGTGGCACAGACACTTTGACACATTCCTGAACAATCGATCGGAGGTGGACTGGGACACACTACAAAGGCTGCAACACCACAGCGTACTATCCGAACTAAAGGACACACTGGGAATGTACGAAATACAGTGAGCGCTTGCTCAACTATGGAATGGGAAATGCGCTGGTGTTGATGGCATGCCACCGGAAATATTGAAGAACGGAGGACCAGTTATGATACATGCCCTGCACCGTTTGGTGGAAGTCGTCTAGATGGAAGCGCAAGTGCCCGCAGAGTTGAAGGGATGCTCTTGTGATTCCACTGTACAAGGGAAAGGGTACTAAACAATACACCGACAATTATCGTGGCATCAACTTACTTAGCTGCGTTGGCAAGATTTTTGCCCGTATCCTACTCAATCGCCTTGTCACACATGTACTGGAACCGAATGTAGCTGAGGAGCAATGTGGATTCCGCTCGGGTCGAAGCACCATCGACATGGTTTTTGCAGCACGTCAACTACAGGAAAAATGTCGTGAACGCAATCAACCGTTGTATTCACTGTTCATCGACTTCACCAAAGCGTTCGATACGGTGAACCGTGAGGCGTTGTGGTTGATTCTCTCAAAGTTTGGATGCCCTGCAAAGTTTATTCGTCTGATTGAATGCCTGCATACTGGCATGTGAGCAAGGGTGCAGCTAAGTGGACAGACTACAGATGACTTTGCCGTTATCTCCGGTGTGAAGCAAGGATGCGTCTTAGCCCCCACACTGTTCAATATCTACCTGACGGCTGTGATGTCGTGCGCATACAACACATGCGAATACGGTGTGCATCTAGAGCACCGCATGGATGGGGGTTTACTTAACATCCGCCGCTTTGTATCAAAAAGCTTAGTGCGTGAGACGACCATCCGTATGCTGCTGTTTGCAGATGACTGTGCGTTATTTTCACATACCGAGGAAGAACTGCAATGCATGACGACTACATTAGCTTCCACAGCGACTAAGTTTGGACTCAGCATAAACCCAGGCAAGACTGTATGTCTATTTCAGCCGGCACCGGGAGTGCAGCACGTTTGCGGGCCAGAAATACGGATTGTAGGTGAAGTTCTACAGAACATGTCCGCCTTCTGCTACCTTGGGAGTACATTGTCAAGCGACCTGCGAATCACCAACGAACTGCGCGCTCGTGTAGCGAAAGCATGTGCGGCTTTTGGGAAACTGGAACGTTGCGTGTGGAAGAATCATCATCTCACTGTTAGAACCAAGGTGATGGTGTACAAATCAATGGTTCTCTCAGTCCTTATCTATGGATCGGAAACTTGGACACTGTACGGAAAGGATATCCGGTTTTTGGAACGATTCCATCAACAGTGCCTTCGCCGGATTCTGCACATCCAATGGTGGGACAATGTGCCAGACACTGATGTGATCCGCCGGAGCGAAGTGTACACCATGGACTACATGCTACTGCTGCGACATCTCCGGTGGCTTGGACATGTGCGCCGTATGGATGCAACGAGAATCCCGAAGCAATTGCTGTACGGGCAACTGAGTGCAGGTGGCTGGAATGCTGGCAAACCCAAGTTGCGTTACCAGGATAATATCAAGGTTAGTTGGTCCAGAGTAAGTATTGACCTAAATATTTGGGAAGAGTTTGCAACAAACCGCCGCAGCTGACGTGATCTCATCACCTGTACCGTTGCCCAATCGCAAGAAAGGCAGATGGTGCATCGAGAAATTAAACGTGCAGCACGCAAACATCATCTGCCGTCGGACTATAATTCTTCGGCTACTCCCACATGGAGCTGTAGTGCATGTGGCCGTGTGTGCTTTAGCCCAGCTGGTCTGGCCAGTCATCAACGAGGCCACGATGGGGCTATGCCGAACAGGTGGATTGTTAGACCGAGCACCACGGACTGACATGTGGCACTTGGTGGTACGCAACTGAGAAAGGACGGTACACGTTAAACCGGCCAAACGTTATGGAGCGAGGTGAGTCAGAACGGAATCGGACGGGAGGACTTTTGCACTGATACTGTACTAATTCATCAAATGTTGCAGTGCAGTGACAACCACGCATAGTTTCTGCAAAGACGCAGGCGCGTACTGTATTTGCCATACTGGTAATCCGAACACAGATGCCTCTATACGAATGCCCCTATGCTGAGGTTTGATGTTGCATACACCATGCTTCTTCATCGCAGTTGGGCTACACTGACTTACTTACTTACTTACTTCATGTTACCTTATTTTACCGTACCTTACCATTACCATAGCCTATAAACACTTTACCTAATACAGTATGGAAAAGCAATGCTTCCTCCATTTGGTGGCAAATTGGCAATCTGATGGACATGTTCAAGTTGGATCATGCATTCAAATATCAATCGCTCCGGAACATCCGTGGAAAGTGAACAGTCCCGGCAAGTAATTGACTAGCGATTAACATGCTGCTGTTGATGTGTCATGCTAGGTTTCACATTAAATCTGTTAGAATGATTAGAGCTGTAATTCCCGTTCTTCATCCGACAACCTTATCTTAGCTGAGCTTATGAAAATCAGTTGACTCCAGCGCACCATTTCCCTACAAACCTGCATAGTTGCCTACTCACGGTCTGTCATCTTTGTGTGTCATCCTTATTCCATTGATAATGTAAGTATAGCTTGGGTACAATTGCTATGTGGAATGATGAAGTACGGACTTGGTGCAACGCAGTAGCATTATTGCACCTGTCTAAGAGGCACCTACTAGAAGTCGTCTTAGACGGGGTCAATCTTATGGGTAGACTAAGAAAAATGTAATGCCAACGGAAATGGTACGTAAGTGTCTTAGTAAATTACATCGGAAAGGAATCAGCGCATAGGGAAAATTTGTTCACTTTACGAGCACCGAATAGCTGCACCCCAGGCGTACTAAAGTGGATCGTAACCAAATAGTTTGTGGCCACAACAGGATACACAACGGTATGTACAAACGGATGAGTAGTTGAATGACAACCATGCTACATCTTGGATATTTGCAACACAGTGCGAACATTGTTTGGAAAACCGCAAGTTTGACAGTGGCCAGAGGGGCTTAGTTGATGTAGTACGATGGTAGTTGTCGTGCCAAATAGGGGAACAATAACAGTACGTATAGGTACTTATTCTAATGCCCATGCAAGTAACCCTTAGCCTAAATTCCAAATGAAACCCATACATGTTTGTTCATACATGCTTGTTCATGAGGACTAATGTGTCTCTGTCCAGTTTGTGACAGTTAATAATGAAGTCCGTGGAAACACATGTGCATATGTTGTATTCGAACTGCCATTGGACACAGATGACGTCAATCTATGTATATATGTATAACGAATGAATTCCACGAGGATCTTCATACCGCTTTTGTACGATGTTAACTTAGTGCAGTAAAAAGACAATCGAGCAAACCGAAAATAACATTACCAGAACATGAAGAAGGTGAGTTTATGACAAACTCATGTTGATTTCAGGTGTTGTGAA